TCAATTTTAGAGTCTCCATAATCGATCTCACTTCCTTGATCCGGAAAATGAAAATGGAAGGGAAGAAACAAAATCAGCTTCGCAATCAAGGGAGAAGTTGGCGAATACAGCAGAAACAGACGGGATTTTGAGATTTGGTGTACGAGATAACTTCGAAGGAAGAAATGAACGATTTGACCACCAAAAATGAAAATTCAGAATTGTATTCTGTAATCTAAACGGTTGATAGATTCCCCGGGGAGAGTTACAGAAACACGAATCTGACGACAAAGCGAGGGAAATGGAGCTAGATGAGAAGAGGGAGTGAGCATCGATAAACGACACCGCTTCGCCTTACCTTCGTTTTCGTTACAGTACTGAATCTTGATGTACTGACGTGCAGGGTTGGGAATTTAGGTTCCCAACGCAGATTTTGAATCTAGATGTGCAAATATATGAACAAACTATTTTCAACTATGTGCAATTTCATCACTAGGAAAACTCATTCTGACTTTCAGAAAACCTCATTACTGTATATGAGTTAGGCTTACGATTCCGATCAAACAAGCCCCATTAAAGTTATGGCATCCCCAAACAGTACTATGAAAAGCCCATTGCTTATAAAAATCAGGCCCTTCGGTTCCTCCCTCTATTTTCCAGAGACTATAGAAGAGTTTACAGTTTTGAGTTAAATGCTATTAAGATGGAGACATGGCAGATACAAGAATTCAAGATAATATAATCCTAAACTAACAAAACCAAAGAGCAAACCAAGCATATGCAAGAAACTGCTTGAAGTAGGTAAAAATTTCTCAAATCTCCAACATAGAAATGAGCCGAATGTAAGATGTCCACACGGCTTTAAGAAGTCTTTCCGATACTAAGACTAAAATAAAAAAACACGGCAGATGTAATTTCCAGAAAAGAATTTGGCAATCTTCTTCAACTTCAAACCATATTGGGGGATAATGAGATGAAGAACCAACCCTATCTCTTCAGGAAACCAAGCCCGTCTTGCCAATTTAACAAAAAAGCCTACTTAGATCTCTGCCTCATCTTTCGGCGCTTCCTCTTCAACCTTCTCATACGCTTCTTCTTCCACTGCAAGAAAAACAAAACACAAGTCTTAACTCAAACCTAAACTTGAATATTATCACCAGAATTCTATAAATCTGTGTAGTAATCAATTGACGGTAGTTACTAATTTTTATTCAATAATGAAACTATAAAATAAATATCATTCTCATATCACATACCAAACACGGAATGAAACATTATAGCATGACAAATAAATTTCTTTGAACAATACTTAAAAGGGATCACAAGAAAACCCTAACCACAAACAAAACTAAAACAAGGCAGATATTAATTGCCCTAAAATCCAGATGGTTCTTATGTCGCAAAACATCAAGAAGCTTCCATAAACTAACACGAAGAACAAAATTGCAACAAATAGATAACAGGAATGTAATAAAAGCAAGGTACCTGTGATTATTCTAATCAAGCCAATCCATATTTAGATTATATCTCCAAATTCTAATACCACTGGAGAATAAGATAAAACTTATTAAACAAAATCGCAAAAGCTAAGACAAAAAAACCAGCTTAAAAAGACCATGAATGACGTGAGCACAATGCTCATTATGGTTCTTATCTCACAAAATATTCAGAAGCTTCCATAAACTAACACAAAGAACAAAATTGCAATAACAGGAATGTAATAAAAGCACAAAACCTGTTACTATTCTACAATCAAGCCAGTCCATATCTAGATTATATCTCCAAATTCTAATACCATTAGAGAATAAGATAAAACTTAACTAAACAAAATCGCAAAAGCTTAGACAAAAAAAAAACAAGCTTAAAACGACCATGAATGAAGTGAGTACAATGCTCATTACCCTACAAATTAGGACATTCTCGAATCTAAAACCCTAGTTTGTAGCAACTACTCTCAATTTAAAAAAAAAAATCCACAAAGCCGAAAGCTTATCAAAATTCCTCCTTAGTATATGAATAATTACAAACCAGGGACCAGTTCCCTTCTGCGCTTTCAAAGAGACTTTGTGTTCGTATCATAATTCATATTTTCCTTCTTCCACGTATTCCGAGAAACCAAACGTGAAGATACACAAATTTCGGTATCCCAATTTCTAAATATACCACCTAGAACAGTTATAATCAAATCTTACACAACGCAGTCAAATCTTTGTGCAAAAAGCTCGAAATGACGCCAAAAAAACTAATGCATGCAATCTGATTCCCAGCCAACTCGCCACGCATTTTAATGTTTCCACTTTTCACTTATTTAACAAGCAAAACTACTGATTAATAAGAACAACAGCAACGAAAATTCGATTCGAAGAAAGAGGAAAAAAAGAGAACATTGACAAATTACACATCAGCAAGTAGAATGTCGAGAAAGATCACAAAGAAACTTACCTTAGCTCTCATCTTCTCTCACGATCTCGTAGTAGACTTCCTTCTATCCGCCGAGTTTTCTCGAACAGGCTATTTTCTGACTGCAAGACCGGCTAGGGAAGCTAACAAGGGCATTGTTCAGTATTTATAGGCATCTCGCCGAAACCCTAACCAGTACAACACTCTGATTAACACGCGAGGGGTATTTTAGTCCATTCAATTAGTTTCAATTTCTGTTTTTTTTTTCTCTCTCTTTCTACAAATTTTTTTAACTTCTAAACATTTTTCTTATTTTGAATTTATAATTTTTATTAGAATTCATAATAATATGACTTACGCCATTTTTTAAATAAAAAATAAATAATTATTAATATATTATATAAAAATAAAATATTAAATAATATTCACTTAAATTTTCAAATATAGAAAAATAAAATTAATTTAATAATTATAATTATATTATTACATAGACATAAAATTTTAAATATTATCTATTCAAATTTTAAATTATAAAAAAATTAATCTATAACTTTTAAATAAAAATTAATTTTAAAATATAATAATTAACTACGTACATTATATAATAAGTACTAATAACATAGTAATTTATAATTAAAATTTTTACGTTATAAAATTTTATATTTTATAAATATATTATAAACTAACAATAATAAATTTATAATATTTAATTCATTAAAATTATTTAATTCACCACCGTGTTGAATAATGTTGTGATAAAACACAATAGATTACGTTTGCAAAACGTCATAACAACTAAACTTCTTTAATTGAAACAGAGATAACAGGTTAAAAACTTGACTCTTGAGATTTTCTTCATCAAATATATATATACATATATATATATATATATGATGACTGGAAAACCTATTTAGAACATACCATTCTGAAAAAACTACTGATAATAATAAACTAAACCAACACAAGAGCATGGTCTGATAATGTCACAACTTGCAATATCGTGTGTCTAATGAGCCATGGCAGGCTCAGACCAGAGCGGGCCAGACCAGTTCTGAGAGGTTACCAAACAAGGACCGATGCCCATTAATGGAGAAAACTATGCGAAGAAGAAGAAGAAGAATATTAAAAACAGTCTTCATATCACAACATTAGTTTCTGTTCATCAACAAAAGATGCAGTTTATAATCTTTGACACCAACAGGGAACAAAATAAGCCAACTTCCACACAGTCCCTTATATATATATATATATATATATATATATATATATATATATATATGTTTATACACTATGAATCAATCAACCATCTCACACATGGAAGGAATTAGATTGAATGATTCTGAAAGTTAGCATATATAGTAAGATCTATATATATATGTTTCATATATATAAGAATGACATGGGGAACTTCTCTTATCAGGTTGAGTGAAATCAAGGGGGACTCTGGTGATTAGACATGGGAACCCCAGATAAATGGTGAGGCCTTCCTCTAAGTACCTGCTACCTGCTAATATTATATTTCATATATACAGTAAAAACCACCACCAGTTGAACTCCGGTCTGCCTTCACAGCTCCATTTTCAATTGACTCGAGTGCAAAGTCGCTACATCATGATAAAATATCGATAATCAGTATGATCTTGCTACTTTCAAGAAAAAGCATATAAAAGAATCGACTCTTCATGCCAAATTGTTTATGAATTTTACAAGGTTACCGTTTTAACTTAACATAATTATAAAAACACCCTCTTGTTTTTATTGTACTCCGAAATACCATCTATGGTAAAACGGCATTCTGTAAATCCTACATTAAGTACCTTAACGTTTATCGGTTGTCTGACTGTCATCTAACAGAATAATACACACACCTCAAGGTTTAATGAGTAGTCGGCTTTTTTAAGGGTTAGGTAGGAGATTCCTCACTGAGGGGATATTTTTGTAATAAAATAAAATAAGAGAACAAACTACCTGTCAATACTTCAATAACTTTCTTGTTTCTGTTCGATTTTGTTTCTTTAACCATAAAATTCGAGACTCTAAGAACACCACAGCCATGTGGGATTTCTGAGGATAATGGTCTAACGGAGCAACTACAAGTTGTTCCTTTAATTGTTTACTATCCACAAAGCACAATGTAGGAAGATATGTTCCCACCAGGCAACACGATCAAATTCTGAAACCAAAAGTTGAAAGAACCAAGTAAATTTTTTATCTACCTGAATTTGCGGAGGAGTCATAACTCAAAAGTGAGTTCTCTGGAGTAGTGAAGTTATGGTGGTTTTCCTCTTCTCTTCCCCAAACTGGCTGGTGAAATGCATCAAAATGCCATTGCTGTTGCTGATACTGTTGCCTATTTCCGCTGACTGGGACTTCTGGCCACATCATAGGCATTACCATGCTGGGGAAGTTGCTATCCATTAGAGATCCACTCTACAGGCATTAAAAGAAAAACAAGTACCATTATTGGCCTTCACCACAATGAGGATGCTACCTAAATGCTGAATTCCTTCATAAAACAGAGAGAGGAACTTATCAAGCAAATGAATCACATTTACTCCTAGCCAACAACTCTGATAAACTAGAGCCGTAAGTGTACCCAGATAAAGATGTTCCATCCGAAAACTACTTCCACATGACTACACCCGCAGTTTTATGCATAAAAAAAGTACAATGACACTGCAAAACCTGGCAGTAGCAGATAATGGAGTCATTCAATTAGAACCAGAGTAATCTATTAATGAAAAATAATTGTACTTGTCACTCCATGATTAAAGCACCTCCTTATCTGGCACCATGAAGTAGTTGGGACTTGATGATCAATACCAAATCAATACAGGTCCATTGTAGAAGATTTCTACTGGACCACCAACTTGGGAGTCCCACTGAAATAACTGCATTAGATAAAGATATAGACCACACTACAAAAACTGTGTTTTCTCTTGTCAAACCTAATCTAACAAATAGTTCAAATTGTTAAGGATGAGTGGACAGAATAAGGTGGTCCAGATCTGATCCACTCCTTTGAACACATTAATAAAGAAGACTCTCTCTCTCTCTCTCCCCTCTTTTTTATGCTTTGAGGCCCATTGGACAAAACCATTCTTCGGAGATAATGGGTAGATAAATTTCAAATTACAAAATATTTTGTCCACAGTCCAGCAATATGACTAAAATTATTTTCCCTATCTAGGCTCATTCAGAAAATATATAACCAAAAATGCAGCCAAATATGAGTTTCGTGAATGTCGATGTAGTAGAGAACCTCACTATCCAAACTACTGCAACACAAGCTAAAACCCTTCCTACAGCTAACTGTTTTATACTTACAAAAATAACATCTCAAAGTCTATGAATTTCCCCATTCCAGAATGAACATAGCAAGATCTGAAAGCTGTTTTATACTTACTTCTGCAGCCAATATATTATCCAGGTTGAAATCAACTCTTGGGTTCACAGTGGCAAGTCTCATTGATAAGAACTACAGCAAAGAAACAGGCAATAAGAATAAAATTGCAGCAAGAAAAAGCAAAGCAGGTATCAATTCAACAAGGTACAGAAGTTGACTACTTTCCAGGAATCAAGAACTAGGTTGATTTTACAGTGAATATTTCATTTTTCACTTGCCAAAATAGGATGATCGCATGGAAAATTAGTTATTTACCAACAAAAGTTTTATTTCAAAAAAAAAAAAAAAATAGTCCAAAGAAGAATGTTTTTGGTAGCCTAAAAAGTAAGTTACAAGGACATTAAACTCAGAAGAAAAAGATGATTAAAAAAAACTCAGAAGAAAAAGGATGTCTACATTGCACGAACTCCAAAACCTAATAGATGTAAAAAATTTACTCTCTGTAATCTGATCTTTTATGTCTTCAGAAAGCAGTTTCAGTTCAGGAAAAAGAAAATCCAGAAAGTAGAGAGTCAGGAATTTTTTGGAAAGGATAAACTTTAGGTAGCAATCTCCTAGAAGTGAAAGTCGGAATAAAAATTTATTCTGGGAAGTGAAAGTCGGAATAAAAATTTATTCTGGGAAGTGAAAGGGTCACCTCCACTTGGCGTTGTAGGCTTTGCACATGGTTGATGATTTCATCCAGCACCAATGCTGTACCCGATATCTGCATGGCAAAACTTTTTGGGTCAGTTTCTCTCAAGAGCTCTTTTGAAGAGGAAATCTATTCAGCAAACTTCATCAACACCAAGTACAAGAGCTTTTTCAAAGCTTATTATAACATTCCTTGATAACAATATGTAATTCCATTATCTCAATGTTATAACATTACTTTTCTATTTAAGACAAACGATTCCAAAATTTTTAGTATGGCCTGGCTCTTCGAGACATCATCATTGACATATTGAATTCTTTGTTGATAGCTTTACATGAATTACTTCCCAAACTTTCAGCTCAATATAACTGCAAAGGTAAAGCATCACAAAACAAAATAATTGTGACACAAGCATATAGGACTAAAGGGAAAGGTTAAGTAGCCATATGGACTTCCCATGAATTAGATTCCTGCTGGGGAAGACTGTTCTATAATAATGCCTCCATACTGTAAAGTCTATAATTAGCTCAGGTCAAGTCTACAGAGTCTATAGACAAAATTCAAAGCGAACATGTTAAAAGATTTAATTGAAACTAACAGATGGAATGGTAACATAAAATTTCTTTTTTCTTTTTTTCTTTTTTTGGACAATTTAAGTCATGCACCAATTTCCACAATTCAGAAAATCATAATCCATGACCTACTTTCCTCGAGATAGAAACGAAATAATTGATCAATTTGAATCTTCATTGATTGTAGCCCAGACATGGAAAAAGTATCACATCCCTGCCTCCTAGTTTTCTTCCATCAATCAAGCAACTGATCAAGGCATAAAAATAAGTATGTTTCATATCAACAAAGAAAATCCACTGCCATTGGATTATAGTTATTGTCTTTTTAGCATATTAATTTGTGAAAGGAGTTGTACCTAAGTCATCCTTTTATTCAACACTGCTTTAAGAATGGATACCGAACTTGCAGGAGAAGACAATACAATCCACCCTCCCAAGTGGTGTTAGAATTGTGAGTTTCAACTGGATGGGACCCCACATACACTTAATCCTAATCCATCCAGACACCATAAGTGTCTCCCAACCAAAGACCTTAAGGGCATATTCCAGCTAGCATTTCCACAAAACTAGAATTTTTTTCCCACCTGGCCATTGAAGGGTACTTTGGTCGTTTACTCAATCGACCTTTAATGGTGAGTTTTAAGTCGCAAACACTACTTTACAGAAATGAACGATTAAAATCGCCAACTCGATTCACTTGTAAATGTCTCAAAATATTAAAAAAAATAATAATAATAATGAACCAATCTCAAATGACAAACCTAACCTCAAAAAATGACAAGTAACAAACCCCTCATCACAATAAAAATGAAATAAACAATCAAAATTACAAGATTGCCACTTAAACATCAAGATATCACTTTTCTTGGTATAAAAGCAATTCACTTTAGTGAAAAAGGTTGACAAGGACAAAAACGTTATTATAGCACATAATCTACAGATATAATCCACTTTTTTGGAGGACCATTTAGGAAAATGTTCTGATTTAATCCCAAATCACAATCAAATGATTAACCAACCAATTAATTAAAAAAAAACAAAACATCATAAGCAGCAACACTAAATAACCTTATTGCAGCCGGGGACCAGCTCTTGCAGCAGCTTCATACGAGCATTAATTTTCTCTCTCCTTGCCTGCGAGGACCCAGAAGTAAGATAAATTAGTACTGTAAAAGAAAAAGGGTCTTGTTAATCATTGAAATGACTAATTAAGTTCTTAATCATGGGATTAGAATTACTCTCTCTGCCAAACTATGGCTATCCGTAGCTTGACCACGACGAACCCGAACATGGACGTAAGGGAGTTTCTCAGCATCTTCAGAGCTGTCGTTTGCAGCACTTTTGGTCTTCTTCGCTGAGCCTTTGGCCTAAAAAATTCAGCAAAGAAGAGTGTTGATTAACATTTAATCCGCAATTAATTAGCTGAAAATGAACCCATTTACTAATAATGGAAAATCCAACAAAGCGCAATTATGTACCACTTTCTTTTCTCGCTCTTTCCTCTTCACCGCCGACCTCTGGTTCTGGTTGTGGCTCTGGTTCTCCGCCGCGGGATCAGAAACCAACGGCTGTGAAGACTCGGTCTCCGCGGGCTCGCTCTTAACTCTCTCCAGATTCCCGCTGGAGTTAGACGGAACCGAGCTCGTTTCCGGGGAGTTGTTGCTGATGTGCTCTCCAGCGAAGAGCGAGAACCTCGCCGCGCGCTCGATGAGAGCAGTATTGGAAGGGAAATTCATGGTCCCATCGAATGATTGAAAGCTATGTTTGAGATCGTCGTCTCCGGCACGTGGCGCCGGAGAGTTTCCAGAATCGGACGAGTGGAGAAGCTCCATGGCCTGTGTCGCCGGCAACTCGAGAAGCGCCGTAAAGGAACTTCCATTCTCAGGCGGTGCGGCCATCATTCGGTGTATCTCTTCGTTGAATTGCAAGGAATCAAGCACAGTCTCATCTGGTTCGGGTTCCCTGGGGCTGGATCTAGCAATGATTCCTCCAATTAGGTCCATAGACGGCACCAAATCGAGCTAAAATGGACCAAACCCACTTCGATTTAGCAAGAAAAAATCGCACCCACTCGGTTAACTCAATCGAAATTCACCTGGAGCAGCGCCAATTTCGACCAACAATTAGAAAAGACAAAAAAAAAAAAAAAAAAAAAACTCAAACCCCTACTCGAGTTCTTCACAGTTAGTGAAAACAAAGTGGGAAAATTTAGGGTAGTGAAGACAGATAAAGATGGTCGTTTCTTTTGTTTGTTTGCGGAAAGTAAAGTGTGTTTGTTCGTGTAAACAATAATAAGGTCCTTCAATGGCGGTCAATCTGCATGGGTTTCCTCCGTTTTCTGTGTTGTTTAACTCTCTCTCTCCCTCTTATCTCATTTCCGCGCACAGAGATTTGTCATCAACCATTTGAAGTAGAGAGAAAGCAACGTTGCCGCAAGGGTGTCTGGCTTAATTATAAGAGAAATTCTGTGAGCAAATGGGGCTCGGCGTGTACGGTTCTAGCTGTACAGTTCGTCGGGTTTGAGAGAAGAAAATAAAGAACTCGGAACGGGACCCTCTTTTTCCTCTTATTTTTTTAGTACGTTAGTGTACAAAATATTGTACCGGAACGGGGGGGAGGGGAGGGGGAGTGTTTGTTTTTCACAAAAACTGTCCTCTATCAACTTGATTTTCTCACTGTATGTATACATGATTTATATATAAAATTTATATTTAATTTAATTATAAAAATAATAAAAATTAATTTTATAAAATTTTATATTACATTATACTAATTATATATATATTTATTAAAAAATTATAAATTTTGAGTTTGGAGTGTGCTCCATTTTTATTTAAAAGTTAATTTTATCTTATTATAATATATATATATATATGTTGATTTAGTTTAAAGGGCTAATTATGATTTTTATGTGGAATATTCCCTTATAAAATAATATTTTTATTTTTAATTATTAAATTAAAGCTTTAATTTAGTCAAAATTTTAATCATTTCATTATTAATAAAATAATTAGTTCTTGTGTCATCTTTTTTTTTTTTTTAACGACAAGTTGATTGGTATATTAAAATTAAAATTGACTCGTTTAAGTTTTAATTAATATTTTATATTTCATTACTATTTTAGTCCGTGATCTTAGTTCGGTGAATTTTTTATTTCGTAGTTAACTGTTGACACTAGTCGTATATTTTATTTTTATAGACCGAGAAAAAATAAATTTTACCATAGAAGTAAGGAGTTCAACCTCTTTTAAATATCTAAAGTGTAATAATCTATCAATTCCTCTAGCAACACGATCCTTTTGTTGCTCTCTTACAATCTCGTTTTTATATTTTAGACTGTTTATATTTCACTCGTTACTGTTAGAGGAATCTCTTTTATTTTTTGTTACTAATATGTTTTAGTTCGCCAAATTCTCTCTTACCTACCTGTGGATTCAGCATCAGTTCGAAAGGTCGACTTATTCGAAAATCTCCGGACCTACACTCGTTTCAATTTTTCGAAATATTTTTTCGTTCACGATGCTCTTAATTTAAATGTTTTAATTCGATTATTTATTAAAGTCGCTTTAGCATAAAATAAATAAATAAATAATTAGTTAAGTAATTATGATCCTATTTATTTATTTATTTATAAATACGTACTGTTTAAAAATTAATGTGTAATTATATTTAAAATAAGATAAGATAAAATATTTAAAAAAATTATAAAACTTTAGTATCTGCAAATAATTAATTAAATAAAATAACTTTTTTAAGCAAATATCCAACCAAATTTAACAAAATACAATTTGAATTAAATTATGCAATTTCATCATTCCTTTTTTTAGTAATTAAATATTTATTTTGCATTGTATACAAATTCTAATTATAAAATATATAATTATAATTAATTAAAAATTAAATCCTATGTTTATATTTTAAATTTTAAATAAATAATTATTATGTATAATCGGATTAATTTTATAATCTTAATGGACAATATATATAATATAATTATAATTATAATTATTTTAATTTATTTAAAAAAATATTAAAATTGAAACACGTACTGGAAGGAGACGTGGGGCCCAAGTTACTGTGTCCAGTATACCTCACGTAGGGCGGGGACCGCCCCCCGAAACACAAGGCCCGACACAATTTTTTAACCCCAGAATATGACCCCTTTATTTTCCTTCCTGCATTTATACGCCACATTTTTCCCCTTTATATATATATATATATATATATACACATATATTTTATTTTACAAAGATAAATATATACACTGTATAAAATAATATTTTAAGTTAAAAGATATAAAGTTACAAGGGTTGGATGGTCTTTTAACTCAGCTCGGAATGCCGATTTTCGTAGTATCATTCTGAAAATAGATAGTACTCTGACGGTGCAGTTACTCACTACAGAATATTACATTAATAATGCGTGTGACGCATTCGTTCGTACGATCAAACACTTGCTACTGCAGAATTAACAAGTCCATATCCAACATGTTAATCGCGAATATAATAAATGTACCGACTGGTAGTTGAATGTTGGCTTCTCTATATCGGTGAAATTTCATTATCGTGTTTAAGTTTCGAATGATTTTTAACAATTATTAACTGAAGATATCATGAGTATCTTTTAATTCAAAATGTGCACGACGATATATTTATTGACTAAGATTTTGCAATAAATTAATGAAGGAAATTAAAATCTTGAAGAATCATAATGAAAACCCACGAGAGATGGGGAACAAATACGAACCCTAATAAGGTCTTATTATTCGTTTAATATATGAATTCCGCTAAACTATATTTAGAGTTTTGTTACCCGTTTAAGTAAAACATATTTAGAGTTTTGCTACCGAATTAATCCGCGAATTCGGGTAAAAATATGTTTTGACGTTTCTTTAAGTTGAAAAATTAATATTAATTTTTAGTTGAGATGAAATTTTACTTTATATTAAATTATGTTACATATTAAACTAATAGTTATGTATTAAAAAGGGTAATATAAATAATTATGTAATTAATAATTTAAATTGTGAAATTTCAATTAAATTGCTTTTACTATAAGCTAAGAAAAAAGACAGCCGAGAATATTCTGTTGAGCCATAAAAATGGTGGTCCACTCCATAAGCTAAAAGGGTATCCGGGTCATGGGCTCAGCCTAGCCCGACCCATAATCAATGCACGGGTCAATTTGATAAGCCCTTAATTAGGCTCTAAACCTAATTAACCCATTAAGCTCTATCGATAAGCCCTTTGTTAAATTTGATCCGGAACCCTAAATTAATTTAATTATATCGATTAAAATCTCGTTATAACGATCAAAATAATTGCATTATATTTAAAAATTACAAATTTAAATTTCGTTGGTGATATTGATAAGTCCTTAACTTGGCTCTAAATCTAATTAAGCTTTATACGCACGTTTTTCGATAAATTTGATCCGAAACTTTAGATTAATTTAATTATATCTACTAATATCTTGTTGTAGCGATGAAAATAATTGCAGTCTATTTGAAAATT